GCTGCTGCTGTTACAATACAGGGGATTATGCATTTTTTTAAAGAGTGATCATTACGGTTTGTCATCCTCTCCATAAAATCAGCCCAGCCCGAGGGGAAGGGCGCCCTCAGCCTGACCTCTCCCTCCACCCCCTCTCCCTGCAGTGCCGCCCGATGATCCTGTCATCCTCGGGGGGCCCGTGATCAGCCTGCGGGCCGGGGACCCCCTCAACCTCACCTGCCACGCAGACAACGCCAAGCCTGCAGCCTCCATCATCTGGTTGCGGAAGGGAGAGGTCATCAACGGGGCCACCTACTCCAAGGTGAGGCCGGGGCAGACGGAGGGAGGGGGCTGCGAGGAGGGGCCGCCTCCCCTCATCCCTCTGCCGCCCTTGCTCTGTGTCTGTGACTTTCTGCCGCTTTTTCTTTCTGGCTCTTTGTCTCTCCGCCTCTCTGTGTCTTTCCTTTCCTCTCTCCTGCTGTGGCTCTTTATCTGACCTTTTCTGTCTCTCCTCCTCTCTCTCTTCCCTGGGGATAATCGCTGGGCTTGGGGAAGACCCTAAGGACAGAGTGGTCAGAGGAGGAGACTCCAGAAGTGGCCAGTGCCTGATAAAATACAGGACACCCAGTTAAACTTGAATCTCTGCCAAACAGCAAATAACTTTTTAGTGTGAGTATGTCCCGAAGATGGCATGGGGCGTACTTCTGGGCCATACTTATACTAAAGATCACTCCTTGTCTCTCTGAAGCTCACACTTGACTGATGGCCTAGATTTTCATTTGTTCAAGCTGGCCGCTTCCCCAGGGCTGCCCAGTGAGGCTGTTTAGGTATTTCCTGCCCCAGGTGCCTGGCTGGGGAGGGCGGGAGGGGACCAGGGAGGGCCGAATCCAGCCCCTAATCCCTTACCAAGCCCTGCGCCCTACTGTACCTACCTGCGGGGGCGCTTTTCTCTAATTCGCACGAGCTGCCGTGCGTCGGAAGGTCCCTGAACTGGTCTCTGTGTTTGCCGTGTTTCATATTTTCTGTATTTTATGATGTTGTGACATCCTGAGGAAGGACTGTCCCTCCCAGGGCTGGCTAGTTCCTAGAGACAGCAAACAGCTGAGAACAGGCCTCTGGTGTGCAAACCGAACAGCCCTGGTCCCCCCCTTTCTCAGGGAATGACCATCCAGACAAGGTGAAGAAGGAAGGGCGTGTCCCTCCGGTCTGTCCCGTGCCCCCCGGAAGCTGGGTCGGCCTGGCCTCTGCCAGGGTTCATGTCCCAGAGGACATGCCCCCATTCCTTATACCCAGCATTTTGTCCTCATCCACACGGAGAAGGGCCCTGGGAGAGCCTGGCCCCGTGTGACTGCGCACCGGAGCAGGGAGGCCACACTCCACCCCCTACCCCGCCCAACCCTGTCACATTCCCACCACCCTGATGGGAATGACAGCCCTCAGCAGGGAGGGGGCTGGGTTCCACCCCTGCTGTGTAACCTCAGGAAAGTCATGTGCTCTTGGCCTCAGTCTCCTTGTCTGCGAAACAAAGGGTCTGGATCAGGGACTCTGTGTCAGTCTGCTCGGGCTGTCTTCATAAAACACTGCAGACCAGTGGCTGAAACCACCAGTCACCCAGCACGCTCCATCCCATCTGTCCGTCTTAGTGGCTGGAGTCCCTCCCTTAGATGCAGCTGCCACTCATCCTGGCCTCCTTTGTGACGGGCACCCCTGCTGGCCCCTGGGGCACAAGACTGGGGTTCAGCCCCTGAGGATGCAGGGTCTGGGGCAAAAGGCACTGTGCAAATCCCCACCTCCTATTACGGCCTTATTCAAAACACGTGAGAACAGGCACCCAGTAGATCCTCTAGACAGCTACTAAAAGGGGAAACAGCGTTAACATTTAATGGTAACTCACAAGCCTTGGACCAACTAAAAGGGGAAGCAGAGAGATGGTAAAAGAAAAAAACAAAGGGGCCCAGCAGGTGGGCGAGGTGGGTGACTAGGGAGAGAGAGGAGGCCTTGTTGCCAGGCAATCAGGCCACTCCGGCCCTTTCCAGGCTGTGTGCATATCAATGAACATCCCAGATTTAGCACCAGGCTTGGGGCACCCACACTGCGTTCCCTCCAAACCTCCATCCTCCCTCACCTGTGACGAAGCAGGCGTCACCAGGCCTCCCACCTCTAGGAGCTCAGCCTAGCTCTCCACTGCCCAGCTGAGGCTTGGGGTCTTTGGAAAGAGCAGAGTGGCAGCAGCTGCTCACGCCGGACAACCTCACACCGCGTGCAGTTTGCCCCCCACCAGCCCAGCCCTGCCACCACCACTGCCAATTGAATGCCAAGTGCCTGCCCTGCCGGTAGGACAGGGGAGCCGGGTGCACAGACAGGAAGCAGCACAGGAAGGCAGGCAGGGTCCAGGGATGAGCCCCAGGCCTCCCACAGCCTCCGGGACAGTCAGGAAAGCTCTTTAGAAGCAGTCCGTGCACACGCACACAGGCAGAGGGACGGAAGCCCACCCAGGCAGGCCTCGGTCCTGGCATGCTCACCCCTGCAGGTGAGGCATGTATGCCCACTCCTGGTCCCTACCTGCACATACAGGTGGGCTGGGTCCTAGTGAACCTGCAGGAGCTGCCATCAGGGTCACACTAGTGCCCCTCAAGCTGGAGGGAGAGCTGCCCCAGGCCTTGGAGATGGTGGCCCCAGAAATGAGTGACTCACCATTAATAATCCACTGACACCCCCTCCCCCTGCGCTGATGTGTGTGCTTATGAAGGTTTCTGAAGCAGGAGGTGGGGGGCTGGGGCCCCGGGGTGCCCCCAGAGCCAAGTTCAGGGGAGGGAAGACAGAAGAAGGAGCAAGGAAGACAGGGAAGCAGGACTGTGACAAGAATCAGCAAATGAGAGAATGTTCACCTGGCCCGGACCTCTAAGTCCAAGGGCTTCTTTTGCATGTGAGAAGAAGGGAGGCCAGGCGAGGTTTCTACCAGAGAAAGAAAGGAAAGGTGAGGAGGGAGCAACGAGGGAAGGAGGAACTGGGGTGAGAAGATGGAGGCCCAGCTCTTCGCCCCAAGGCTTGGCTCCCTCCCCACAACTGGACCCGTGAGCTGGGGGCCTGGGTGGGGTGCTCAGGGCCTCCCCTGGGGAGCGGGCGCTGAGCTCTGCCCTTGCTTAATGAACACATCTCCCCTTCCCTAATTAGGTGGAACAAACAACTTGGACCAGAATTTTTATTTCCCAGAAAAGCACACGCCTGGACACAGTAAATATGTCATTCATCATCATTCTGGGCGAGGAGCCCCCTGCGTGCAGGGAGCAGGGCAGCAGCCAGGGGCCTAATTAGGAGCTCGGGCCGCTTCCTCCCCTCCGGCAGGCAGGCACCCGGTAGGCCCTGCTCCCCTCCACCCCTCAGCAGAGCAAGCCGTTGTCGTTGGTTCCTGGCAGAGTAAAATTTATGTAAATGTCCCTGTTAGCACAACGGGAAAGTAAAGAAAAGGAGAAGGAAGAACAAAACGGCTCTCCCTCCCCAACTCCCCCACCCCAACCCCGAGGACTTATTTTCATCCAGGAAATTGTTCTTATTATCACTTGGCTATTTATAGACCCAGGAGGTCTGCTGGAAAGCCCTGAGCCAGCCCGTTGCCATGGTTCGGCCGAGCTCCGGGCTCCGGCTGGGCTTGGGGCTAAACCACCCCCACCTCCAACCCCACCCCCGTTTGCAGGCCTCCAGTTTAGCGCCCTGGCCCTGAGGCTGAGCTCAAGACCCTCACCCCACTGGCGCCTGGGACTGACCACGTCACCCTCCATCCCTCTCCGAGATCCCTCTGCCCAGGGTTGAGGCCCCCACCCCGCGTCCTGGGAAAGAATCAGACTGGACCCAAGCCGGTTTAGAGCAGAGGAGAGACAGTCCAGGCCTGCTGCCCTGCTCTGTGGATCTCCCTGGCATCTGAGTCTCGCTTTGTCTACAGCAGGATGAGCTGTTCTGGACCGAGGCTCAAGTCCTGTTCCCCTGGTGCTGGAGGCTACTGAACTGGGGACCCAGAGGCAGGGTCCAGCAGCCTGCATGTCACTGCTAAACTCGGAGGCTCCTTAATCGTCTGAATGTTCCCACCTTTAAGTGAGGTCACACTAACCGCTTTCTAGGGTCTCCAGAGGCCGTGAGGGGGGCCGTGGGCGCAGGGATCGCCATTCTCAAGCGCAGATCCCAGCCCTGCCCAGCGAGGTCCTGACTGACTTTGAACTCAGTCTTCTCTTCTGTTATGTAGGAAACAAGACGCCCTTCCCCCAGGGCCCTGTGAGGATTAGAGACGATGTTGGGGCTCTTTCCAGGGAGATCTGAGCAAGTGGCCTGTTCTTCTATTCCTTGGCTCTGGCCGTGATGAAACAAGACGGTGTCAGGCACCGCTTCCCTGTAGGGTCAGGTTCCTCTCTGGGGCGCCGTGAGCAAGTCCAGGCCCCCCACTCCTAGCGGCCCTCCTGCCCAGCCCGCTCCCCAGCACGCACCCACCTCAGTGGGCCATCGGGGAGCTCAGGGAGCAGAGCACCAAGCTGATGGGGAGGTGGCCGGAACGGGGCGCAGGGGAGGAAGCGGTGGCAGCAGTGACGGAGAGCAGCTGCTGTGGGGAATGACCTCGTGGTCACGGGGAAGACAGGAGACCTTCAGGCCCGGCGTTAGTTTCTGGGGCTGCCGTGACCAAGTAGCACAACTCGTTTCTTCAGACAACCAAAGTTTGTCGTCTCACAGCTGTAGAGGCCGAAAGTCTGAAATGAAGGTGTGGGCAGGGCTGGGCTTCCTCCAAAGGCCAGGGAGGACCGTCCTGGCTCCCGGCATTCCTTGATAGCATCACTCCAGTTTCTGCCTCCTTCTTCCCTCGGCCTCCTTCCTGTGTCTCCCTGTGTCTTTCCTCTTCTTGCAGGGACACCAGTCAGGGGGTTGAGGGCCCACTCTACATCCAGGGTGATCTTGTCTCAAGATCCTTAACTGATTACTAGGGACTTGACTAAGTTGTGAAGGCCCTGTTTCCCAGTCAGGTCACATTCTGAGGCTCCGGGTGCACACGAGTTGAGGGAGAGGCTATTATAAGCCCACTCCGAGCCCGTCTTACTTATTTCGCCACCACCCTGAAGTGAGTTCGGTCAACTCCATGCCCTCTCTTGATCACACCTGTTTGCCCCCGGTCAAGTGGAAGGTCACAGCATCTGTCCTGCCTGTGGCTTGGTCAGAGCTCTCCTGAAGCCAGGAGGTGAAATGATTGAAAAGTTGAAAGGATTTATACAGATGAGACAAGGGAAGGGTCAGTGTGCATTGGTCCCACCCTCACCCCCACCCTCCAAACTGCACGCCCCCCGCACATCTCCCATCTGTGGCCTCCATCTCAGTGCCTCCCGCAGACGCAGAGACTCTCCCAGGCCAGGCACAGATAGTGGGAGGTCATTTCTACACAAGACCTGCAGCCGGGTTTCCGTGGGACCCACGCATCAGGGTGGACAAGTCCAGGCTGATTTTCACACATGATGGAAAACCTTCTAGTTCCTTTCTCCTCCCACAGCGTTGCGCTCAGCCAGGCCAGGAAGCCAAGGGTAACCCCCACCCCCAGCTCTCGGTGGAGATGGGTGCCCCCAGGTGTCCTGAGTCGACCGCCTCCACCCACAGCACGCCCCTCTCCTCTCTGAGGCTGGCGCGTCCTCCCCCATCCGCCCAGGCAATCCCAGCCGAGTGATGCATGACATGAGGCCCTCTCTCCCCTCCTCCCAGACCCTACTTCGAGACGGCAAGCGTGAGAGCATCGTGAGCACCCTCTTCATCTCCCCCGGCGACGTGGAGAACGGGCAGAGCATCGTGTGCCGAGCCACCAACAAAGCCATCCCCGGAGGGAAAGAGACCTCGGTCACCATCGACATCCAGCGTGAGTACTGACCCGGCCTGAGGCCCGGAGCCACACCCCTGAGGGACAGCTGGAGGCAGGACCTGGGTCAGTCATCTCCATGGACCGGCGCATGTGTATCTATGGGCGCCCATAGGACCATCTTGTCCTTCTTATACTGTCACAGATGAGGGTGACAGTCTTCTTAAAACAACACAGATGAGAGTCCTTTGCAAATGGCCTGTTCAAGCCACATTTCCACACCTGTTATACAGTATACAGGTAGATCTTCCACAGCAACGAATAGCGAGGTCAGCCCGGGCCCTGCTGGCCCGGCCAGGCAGCCCCACGCCTTTCTTGGAGAGGAAGCCAGAGCAGGGACGCTGGGGTCAGAAGGCACTTGGGGCTCCAGAGTGGGGAAGCAGGCCCTGCAGAGGGTGCCTGGGCCCCCCTCGTGGAAGGGCCGGTCAAGGAGGGAAGCGGAGCAGGAAGATCATCCCTGAGCCAGCGCACACTCTGCACGTACTCTATCATTCAGTCTTTTTTTTAACTTTTCTGTTTTTTGAAGTCTAGTCAGTTTACAATGTTGTGTCCATTTCTGGTGCACAGCATAATGTTTCAGCCTTACATGAACATACATATATTGCTTTCATCTTTACAACAGCCGTTTGGTCCCTCTCGGAGGAAACCGAGGCACCCAAGGCCGCACGGGGGTCGGAGGCGGGCAGCCTAGCTCCCCAGAGCCCGCGCGGGCCCCTCCTTCCCCGCGCGTCCGCACGGGAGCCCTCAGCCCATGTCGGTTATTATGGTTCCCATTAACAATAATGATGCTTTAAAACTCCGCCTGCACCACATTCCAAAAGTCACCTAAGGAGGCTCCTGAAGTCGAAAGTGCCCGTCGGCCCGGGAACAAGGCGATCCCGGCAGGGGAGCCCACGGCCTCTCGCTGCTGGGCTGGTTCAGACTGGAAATATCAGCCCTCGGAAGTCGACTTTTCTTCTCTTAAACCCCCGCCCACCCCTGCCCCGGAGCACGATGTCACCACATGCTGGTGGCTTTGCTTGGAGGCCCTTGAAGATCCAGGTCAGAGCTGCAGGCTGGCATTCACGTCCTCCCTGTCATTCTACTCACTTTAAACCAAATCCATGTAAAGAAACTCCCCAACAGCCCTGGCTCATCTAAGGCCCCTAGATTCTGCCCTCCACGTGGCTCCCCACGGATCTGGAGTCTGGAGGGGCCGTGTCCTGGGGCTTCCAGAGCCCATCTCGGGAGCCAGGGAGCAGGCTTCCCTCGGTCTGGAATCCTGGCAGATGCAGTTTAGGCTCCAGAGGGCATAAGAAACTGTTGTAACCCTCAGAGGTGGGACACCCAGACACACATGGCCACCGTCCGCTCCCTCCTTCCCCCACCCCAGTCCCCCAGGAGGCCGATGCCAGCCCCGGAACCCCACAAAAGAGACCACCTGGTCAGCTCCTGGGCCCTGGCAGGAGCGACCCCGAGGGAGCAGTGTTTCTGCTCCAGCCCGTGACCCATCACACAGAAGAACCTCTTCTGTCAACAAGAAAGTCCTCATGACAACAGCCCACCAACTGTTGAAACAGTCCTCTAAACACACTCTAATGAGATGATCAACTTCCCAGCGCACACAGACTACAGTCTGCACCCGAGGTGAGCACCAGCCTGACCACGTCTCTGGGCCTCGCTGGCTTTCTTTCCAGGGGCGACTCAGCCACCTGAGGAGGGAGCCAGTGGGAATGGTCGGGGTGAGGCTGAGAAACCAGGTGCCCGGTTTCCTAGTTCAGCCCCATCCGAGGCCGCCCAGGGTCGTGGTTAAAGCCACAGCATTCCTCCTGGTTTGGAGTCTAGCTCTGCCACTTACTGAGTGATGCTGACCTGGTTATTTAACCTCTTTGTGCCTGGGTTTCCTCCCCTGTACATGTAGGTAACAGTGCTCGGCTCACATGCCGGCCGGGAGAATTCGATTAAATCACCCTGTGCACACTCTGCGCCTGTCAGCTGCTGTCGCCATGTCCCCCCAACCCCACCGACTGTCCCAACAGGATGAGGTCTCCATCCACTCGTCCCCTCTTCTGAAGGTGTCTGCATGTTCCTGCCAAGCAAAAGAACACGCTCTCTCCACCTCCTCCCTCCTGCCCTGCACCCGCCCCACGCCCACCGACTTACTCCTTTGTTCACTCAGTAAGCATCCGACTGTTCACTGCGGACACCACGGGCTGGGTCAGAGCTGCCTTTGCAAACCTGCTCATTTTCTCAGCCAACCAAGAAGCATCCAAACTCAGCAAAAACACATTTGTTGTTTGTTTCCCTTGGTCTTCAGATGTTACCCAACGGAAGACAAAGCCCCCAGACTGAGTAATGGGAGAGAAAGCCTAACACCCTCGACGTCTCGCTACATCTGGACTCTGCATCCAGCTGCCAAATTTCAAATGGATGTGCTATAAAATCACTGAGTCATGGAGTTTCTCTCTCTTCTCACCCCCTCCTCGATGTACTACTTCCCCTGAACACACACACACACACACACACAGGCAGGCAGGCAGGCAGGCAGGTTGCTTATAGAAACACTAACAGACTCTCAGCTGTAACATCTGTTCAATGTGATCTCAGTTCCACCAGCTACATCAAAGCTGCCCCCTGCAAGTTATGCAGCCGACATCACAAATGGGATTAAAGTCATGCTTAATAGTTGGATATGACATAAGCTATTTCTACCTCTGGAGCCTGGGAGACTCCTGGAAATTCATACCCTGTGCATCCAGAGGAAACAGGTGGACGGAGGGACACAGGTGCCTCTGGGCCTGGAGTGGAGGCACAGGTGAGGCAGGCAAGTGTGGAAGCATCCCTGGGGCCTGTTCTCCTGGGCACCGAGGATGTCACAGAGAGGTAGGGAAGGTGCGGGAGAGAGGCATCCACAGGGTGAACTGAGAAGGCAACTGTTGGTGGAGGAGGGGATCAGGCAGCAGGAGGGGTCCTCCAACAGGTGCGTGCTCCCCTCCCTGCCCCGCACGCCTCATCGCTTTATAAAGTACACCCAGGTCAGGGCAGGTTTTAGAGTCTATTGAACTGGCCCTGGAAGCTGGTCAGCACTGGGGTGATGGGTGCAGGCTGGGGAGAGGCTGCAGGACTCCAGGGGGCAGAGTTCTCCTGGGAGGTGGGAGGAGGCTCTCATGGCTAGTCCTGGCTGCATGTCTTGGTGACCACTGGAGTTAAGCTTTAAAAACCAAGATGGAGATCGCTGAAGTACCCAGCACTTCCCTGGTAATTAACTCTCCAGGAAAAGGCAGCAAGCCAGCTGTTCCAGTAGTAGAGGCTCCCAGATCGTGGCCCCCGTCTGGAACAGGGGGAGAACCCGGGGAGAGCAGGCCCCAGCACAGCCCGCCACCGATGCCCAGGAAGCAGCGTTCTCTCCCCGTGTCTTAACCAGCTGTCCGCCAACACCAGTGCAGGCCTCCGTGGGCCATCTCCCGGGCCCGGCCCCGGGGCCCCAGGCTGGGCAAGCAGGCATGGCCCGGCTTGATCTCGGACAGGGCACAGGGAGGCCAGGCAGCCAAACCAGCCCAACTGCGCGGTGGGCTGGGCTCAGGCCACAGCCGGGCGGCTGTGCTGATGGCTCTCAGAGAGGCTCGGGAAGCCCCTGTCGTCTCAGCCAGGAGCTGGGCCCGGCGGCTGCTGTCTTGTTCCCCCCGTGGCGCCCTTCACACGCACCCAGAGGAGCGGCATTTTTCTCGATGGTCTCTGAGAAACTGGCCTCCTTACTTCTTTTTCTGAAAAAGGGCTGGACCCCTGGAAAGTTCTCATGCCCTTCCAGCACTCTGCTGTGCAAAGTGGTGAGGACGGGCAGGAAGATGTGGCCAGGGGCCTGGCTGGGACGCGGGCACCAAGCTGCTCTCTTCACTCAGCCGAGAGCTGAGCTCCAGCCAGACCTCCAGACCCCGACGAGGAAGGATGGGCGCGAGCTGTGGTCTCCCCTCCCCTGGAGCGCGAGCCCAGGGGCGTGGTGATGCCCGGGTTTTAGAGCTGGTCCTCGGCCAGCTTCCCCTGAGCTCAGGAGGGCCAGCCTGACTCAAGGCCACTCTCTGGGCCAATTCTCCACCTGTGTCTCTCTGCCGTAGCTCCCTTCTCCTCTCTTTCCATCTCTAGGTCCCTCCGTGCCCTTCTAGTTCCCTCGTTATTTCGTTTGGTCTTTCTCCCCAGCACTTCATCATTTTCTGCCTCCATCTATTTGGTCTCTCTTGGTCTTTTTGCTTTTGGTCTGAAATCTTTGTCTGGTTATGTGTCTCCGCATATATGTCAGTCTCTCTCTGCACCTCCCTCCATCTCTGCTCTCTGCTTCTCTGTTTCCTGCTTCTTTTTCTTATTCTGCATCTACACTTCTCTCTCTCTCTGCACCCCTCCCCTCATCTCGATGCCTCTCTCCTCTCTAGGCCTCTCTCTGCCTGGCCCCCTCCCCTCCTGCACAGGTCTCTGTCTCTCTTCCTCCCTCTGACTTCCCATCCCCTCCACCTCCACCGCAGAGCTGGGCTTCTCATCACACTGAGTGAGAAAGACGAGCCCAGCCTGGGGAGCTGAGGGCTGGGTGACACCAGTCAGGACACAGCAGAGATGATTAAGCTGATGACAGGCTGTAAATGCCACTTTCAAGGTAACAAACACACCAGAACCCTTACACACAGAGGCACGAACAGACATGTCAAAGGCAGAAAGTTTGTATTTAAACGGGGCTTAGTGTCCACATCCCCCTCCTGCCCCCCCACCCCCTCTTCCCCTCTCCTTTCTTAAGTCTTTTGTTCTCCCTAAAGCTGGAAGGTGGGCAGCATGCGCAGGCAGCCCTACGTCCTGGCTGGCTGTTCAGCCCGACATCCAGCCTTGAATCCACAGCAGGAGCCCTGACCCTGCCGCCAGGGCCACCTGGATGGGACACTTTCAGGGAGTGAGGGAGCAGCCCACTGAGGCCCCCGGCTTTCAGGGGACCACCAGGGGAGGGGCTGCTCTGAGGGTCCCGGGGTGGTGGAATCACTTTCCTCTACTCTCCGTGTTACCCCTGGGGGTTCAATCTCCAAACCACGCACAGTCCCCCAGAAGGGAATCTCTTCTCTCTGCAGACCCCCCGCTTGTCAACCTGTCGGTGGAGCCACAGCCAGTGCTGGAGGACAACGTCGTCACGTTTCACTGCTCCGCAAAGGCCAACCCAGCTGTCACCCAGTACAGGTAAGAGGCACTGCTGGGGAGGCACAGCCTGGCCACCGGACCCTCCACCCCCCCCCCGCCCATCACGTGGGTGTCACTTGTGCTCCGGGGCAGCCAGCGCAGTGCTTGGTCCACCGTGGGGTCCGGGATCCTTTGCAGCACACCTGTCCTCGCCTGGCCAGGGGTAGACTTTGCCTTCCTTCATTGACACACACCCCCCTTCCTCTGCGGCAGAAGACAGCGCTCCTGTTTGAATCGCTTGTTACCCCTTATTTCTATAAAGAGGGAAAGAGGCTCAGGGGAAAAAAAAGTTAAGACAACCAGGAGATCCATCACAATCGGCATGTGGACTCTAGTCCTGTCTCACCCAGCCCTTCGCCCGGGTAGGGCAGGATTTCCGGGACAGCCGGCCCTGCGCACCGGTACCCGGGATCCTTCATCCACGGCCACTGTGCGTCTCCTGCTCACAGCACTGAGGAAAGCATCACGGCTTTTTACACGCTTGTCTTTCCCTGTTGACTGAGCTTCTCGGAGGCAGGACCTGCACTCTAGTCACTTACGGCGCCCAGCGTGGAGCAGGCGCGTGGCAGGCACTGGGTACTCCAGAACGTGGGCTCGCCGACCAGATCAACACGCAGAGCTGCCCCTCTGTGCACCTTCCTGCCCGGGCGCCATCACCGCACAAGACTTCCAGAGACAGAGTGGCCTCAGTGGCGCTCAAGGGGCCGACTCAGACACTCACCTCCTTGTGGTGCCTGTGGAACTGGCCATGGCTCTCACTCTGCCCCGTCCCTTCCCCCCAGCCCAGACCTGCGAGAGCCCAGCGTCGCCTCCACCATCAAGATAGGTCATTAAGCCACAGCATCAGCCAGTGCCAGGGGTGCTAATGGTCCCAGGCTGGAGAGACAAGGGCAGTGCAGCCCCAGAGGGCAGAATGAGAGGAAATGGGCCAAAGAGGCCGCCAGAGATTCAGGTTGGACATAAGGCTGTGCTCCCTGCAGTGCAGATAATTAAACAACGCTGGAACCAGAAACCCAGGAAAGGCATAGACTCTTTATCCTTGAGGATATTTTTAAATAGGATGAAAACCCATCTGGCTGTCGATGTAACCGTTCACCAGGCTGGAGGCAGGAGAAAGATCAGACCACCTCCAGGCTCCCTGGAGTCATACCGCCCAATAGGTCCAGGGATCAGGGCTGGCGTGGCTCGGACAAGTGGCAAAGATGCAGAAGGAAGCACGCAAAGAGGCTTTCTCCAGGCTTCTGCTCCGCACCTGCGAGACATGGGCTCCATCCTCAAGGTCAGCGTCTCTCTGCTGTCTGCTCTCTGCTCATAATCCTTAAACACCAGACACCATGTGCCCAGGAAACACCTCTAATGCCAGTTTCCGTGGGCATCCCTTCTCTCCTACTGACCACCGGGCAGACTCACCCACGTGCACACTCACAGCCATCCAGGAATACCTGTTGGACCCCAGACCAGAGCACCCAGCTTCCAACTTCCATTTCTCTTCCCAGTCAGCCTCCAGGTCACCTGAGGACCTAGCCACGCACAGGCTGGGCAGAGGGCATGGCCCTGCTCCAGGACCTACCTACGTCCCCAACTCTGACCAGGCCAGGGTGCCCGATAACCCAAGAAACCAGGCAGCTAGGCCTGATTCCCAGGACACCACCCTCGAAAAGGCAGAGCAGCAATGATGATGAGGACAGTAATAAGGTGTAAACCTGTGTATGGGGGGATCATCAGAGAGCAAACGTGGGGAAAAAAGCAAATGTGGCAAGATACTAACCACCGGTGAATCTGGGTGCGGGGGATGTGGCAGCCACCTGGACCATTCTTGTGACTCTTCTGTAACTCCAAAGTTCTGTTTAGTTTTCAAACTAAAAAGTTAACAAACACACCGAGAAGCAAGCACAGGCCGTGCAGGTTTCCCCAGGCTCCGGGTACCTGCGGTATCCCTCCACCTGCATCTATCCCTGCAGCTCAGAGTCCCGGGTCAGCCCATCACATGCAAGGAGGAGCCAAGAGTTCAGGTGGCCCCTGCAGATGTGCACTGATCTCACTTGTCCCCTTCCCTCCTGGCCTTCCAATCCGCCAAAGGGCCCCAAATGCTTCAGTGTGGATCAGACTCCCTCCGGGACTCCAGAGGCTTTTGGGGGAGACTTTCTGGCCTTCAGGAAAATGTGGGAGAGCCGGGGTGACCTGGGAAGGAAGGGTGGGGTGCGGTCGTGGCAGGAGGAGGTAGGCGCCCGTGTGCCCACCCCTGCCGGCTCAGCCCCTCAGCCTCAGGGAGGGCTCACCCGCAGGCAGATGGTTCTCCTAGACGTAGTGCTGGGCTCCAAGGGGAAAAGCCTTGAGCACATCTCATCACATGAGTACCTTGATTTTTCCCAACTGACTTTGACAAGGCTGCAGGGATCTTGGATTCTTTACTTCCGTTAGTCTTGACTCCTTCCTCCCTGCTCAGCACAGAGGCTGTGGTCTCAGAAATTGGAGATATGCCCTCCTCCACCCTAGCACCCAGCCAAGAGGCCCCAAGGAAGTCGGGGGCAGGGGACCTCATCCAGCTGGGCTCAGCGGTCACTTCGGCTGCCCTGCGGGACCAGGAGCCCAGGGTGAGCGGAGCAGGCCCACGCACAGAAGTACATCTCCACCTGCCTCTCTGCTCCCCTCTGAGACTCTCAGGGCCGCCAGCCCCACCCCGCAGGGAGCAGGGAGGGGCGCAAGGCCCAGTGTGAAAGGCGGGGCACTGCGGGAGGCCTGACTGACGCCTGTGATACACCAGCCTCCTGATTCTGTGATAGAAATAATTAACCCTCTTACATTTGCCCAGGCATTGATTGGAAATGGCTTAACCTGACTTCTGTTCTGAGGGGCTGGGAGAGGCAGTGAAAGCACCAGGGGTGGCAGCGGGGCAGGTGGCGGTGGGAGGCTGAAGGGACAGGAGGAAAGAGGAGGAGGAGCGAAGCCAAAAGGCAGAAGAGAGGAGACGGAGAGGAGATGGGAGCTAGGAGAGGGGATGGGCGGGGACACAGGAGAGGGGTGGGACTTGCTCCCTGGCTCACGCGTGATCAGGTGGCCAGCTGCTTCCGTGAGTGATCTGAGCTTCTGGAAGGAATCCCTATGAGGGAGTTTTGGTTGGGGAGGGAGGGAGGGGAAGAAAGATGGGGAAGAGAAGGACTAGCAGAGTTAGATGTGAGCAGGGGACTCGTGGGGCACACCCCAAAGGCTCAGCCCCAAGCCAGCTTCCTGTAGCCCTGCGAGGACAGTGTAAGAACTCCTCCTGTTCTCTGCCCGCCTCTCAGGTGGGGTCGGGCCCTAGGGAGCCGCGAGCGGCAGCTGCACAGAGGGCAGGGCTCAGAGCCTCATTCCCCACAGCCGCCCAGCATCCCCTCATGTCTCCCTTCTTGGCTTTGAAGGGGAAGCCAGGCTGGTCTGGGAAGAGGGGATCAGTGTGGCCTGGAGCACCGGCTTCAGGCAGTTCTGAGCTCCTCGGGGCCCTCCTGCTGGGGAGAAAACCCCCTCTTCCCCAGGAGCCCCCAATAACAGAAGAGGACTGTCCGTCAGAGCCCAAATCACCGGGCCAAGCCAATCCCTGCCCCAGCATCCGGGGCTGTGCGCAGCCAGGACCAAGGGCCCGCCTCCTCCCAGCGCAGCCAGCTGCCCGGCCTCCCCCGCGTCCCACCACCCGACCCCTGACTGCAGCAGGGTGGATGGACCCTGTCTGGGACTGAACTCATCCGCCTCAGGCAGGAGCTGTGCCTGACTATTAAGTCTGGTCATTACATTAAAGTTAGAGATTGAAATGATTCATGAATAACTCATAATGGCTTGTTGGGAAGCTCCTTCAGCTCTCGGGGAGCTAAGGTTTGCTCTGTTGTTAAACTGTAATTGTTATTATTAATCGTCTTCTTCATAACTACCCGATAGTAATTGGAGATAATGACCACACAGTGCCAGCCTGGTTCTCTGTGTGATGCCAGGAGACGGCCGCCTCTCGGGGCCAGATGGGTGGGCTGGGCAGGAGCCAGTGGAGGGAAGGGCAGGAGACCGGCCTCTGCGGCACCAGGAGAGGCTCTGCGGCTGTGGTTACAGGGAGCCCCGGTCCCGGAGAAACGCTGTGGAGCCCAGCTCTGGTCAAGACATACACCCCAAAGTAGGCTTGAACCGCAGCAAGAAGAGCCGGCTGGCAGCTGTGTGATTTTTTTGAAGCGTGTTGTCCACCGTAGGGTTAAACCAGGGAAAGCCACGAGTTCTGTCTCCTTGGTTGTCTGTAAGGAAAGCCCCAGCCTCACACACGTAGGCACACGCCCCCCTGGGGCGCACGGCCCCACAGAGGCAGGCTGCTGTCACTGGTCCAATGCAGGGATCACCGCCCCAGGTCTCTCCCCTCCGGTGGTACCAAT